GAATGCCAGTGTATGTGTGTGTGTATGCCAGTGTATGTGTGTGTATATGCCAGTGTGTATGCTGGTGTATGAATGCCAGTGTATGCCAGTGTATGTGTGTGTGTATGCCAGTGTCTGAATGCCAGTGTATGTGTGTGTATGCCAGTGTCTGAATGCCAGTGTGTGTGTGTATGCCAGTGTATGAATGCCAGTGTATGTGTATGTATGCCAGTGTGTGTATGCCATTGTGTATGCCAGTGTATGTGTGTGCCAGTGTATGTGTGTGTATGCCGGTGTATGAATGCCAGTGTATGTGTGTGTATGCCAGTGTGTGTATGCCAGTGTATGTGTATGAATGCCAGTGTATGTGTGTATGAATGCCAGTGTATGTGTGTATGAATGCCAGTGTATGTGTGTATGAAAGCAAGTGTATGTGTGTATGTATGCCAGTGTGTGTGTATGCCAGTGCGTGTGTGTATGCCAGTGCATGTGTGTATGTATGCCCATGTATGCCAGTGTATGTGTGTGTGTGTATGCCAGTGCGTGTATGCCAGTGTGTGTCTGTATGCATGCCTGTGTGTGTCTGTATGTACGTATGCCTGTCGGTATGTATGTATAAATCAATATGCAGTATGTATATGTATGTTTGTCAGTATGTATGTCTGCTTGTATATGTGTGTGTGTCTCAGCATCTCCCTATGCATGTGTGTATGTCTGTTTCAGTATTTGTATCTGTTAGTGTGTGTGTGTATTCCTGTGGGCGGGATTTGGAGGCAGGCTTGAAGGGGGGCCCAGACCTTGAGCTGTGTTAGGGGCCCCAAAATTTCTGATGGCGGCCCTGTCTAAAACATTGCAGAAACAACGCTGGATGTCCTCACACTTTGCATGAGGGACATCCATTATCTTAACCCCTTCAGGACGGAGTCAATAATGCACGTTCTGATCAAAACAAAACTCAACATTGATTTATAAAGAGGCACATGTTTGCTGAATTCTCTAGGTAATCAAGGGGATTACAAATCTTATTTTTGACCATTGAGAGAGATGAGTGGATTTTTATTCCTAAATTAAGATTTGTATTTATTGGTCATATGTATTTTCCATACTATAATTATGTGTCTGTTTATTGCAGCAAAATATATAAACACATTAAATCTAAATAAATTAGATCCCTGTCTAATCAAGCATTTAATGTAAACCACTTTGGGTTAGATCCCATAGAGATCACAATGTCATTTAAAATTTCAAAAACAAACAAGCAATACAAGCAATCAGACAAATAATAAGGTTAAAACAGTAAAGAGCACTGTAAACCGTAACATAAAATATAAAATTATTGGCACTATTGTCCTATTTTAACTTATCGCTAATTATAACTTAGCTTTTATTCATGAAAGTTAATGAATGTAAAAGAAAATAAATCTGTACAATATATATATAAAATAGATAAAGGATGACCCTTGCAATGACAAAATAAACTGCTATAGACGGTTATGAAAGACAGTGAGAAAGAAGTTAGAAAAAAAATAACTACAACAAAAACAACAGCGGTGAAATATATATAACAAGCTATTGAAATTAGAAAATAGAACGTGGATTTAAATGAAATTACATTCATTGTCTGCAACTCTTTTCAGTTCTTGCCAATCTAATTTCGTCAAATAACTGCTTGGTTAGTCCAGATTTGTGTCTGAACCTCTTTGTGTTGTGTGATCACACTGCAATGCCCTAAAGAGAATTATCATTAATGTCCAACTCCTCATTTTGACACATAAAGCGTTCAATATGTCGGATGTACAAATTCATGGATTTTCCGAAACAGTCTACAACCATCTTCAAAATGGTATAGTGATTGTGCGAAAGGATTCTGGGAACTATTAGGACTACTGTATGCATATATGTCCGAAGAATAGAATTTTGTAACCACATACAGTAACACAGTTATAAAAGAAATCCTGGAGTCCAAAGTGGCAACTGTCAAGCTTCCAAACTCGGGGGTCCAAATCCAGACCACAGCATGTTCCTGATACATTGTCCATCTAAAATGGCCAGTTATTGGGATAACATGCTTCAGTATATTGATGCTCATACCAGTGTCCGTGCAAAATATTTTGCACAGGGATACTGACGTGCTATATCATCGATCCTCATAAAACCCATTTAGGGGTTGTAATTAATGAGAAGAAGGGTGGAGTTGAGTTGTCTTGCCTTTCCATGCTCTTGATTAAACCCAGGACTGATTTCACATCACTTCTACTGAGATTTCCTTTGATATGTAGAATTGCTTTAATGTGTTTCTTCCTGTAAGAACAAACATTACTTTCAATCAATGTACCATAAAAGTATAACTTAGTATAATGTTTTAAACAATTTCATGTGTTCTGCAATCAGCGGCCTCTTTATGCAATGCATCTAACCAGGATGAAGCTGACTCTGAGAGAGCAGGAATTCTTCATGGCATTATATGGACACTGTGTTCAAATAACTGCTGCTGCACGCTTTGACCAATACCAAGGCTCTCATCGGATTCCAGTTACTGTCCCCAGTTTGGCCTCATTGATGTCAAGTCGGATAAGCTGAGAGTTTATGAAATTGACACTAATATTGAGGAAGTGATAATTTCACACATCAGTGATTCTGAAGAAGGTTTGGTCTTGGACCTTCCTGTATTGTTTTTATAAACACACTTCTAAACTGTTTGACATAAACTGGGCACAGAAACTCTCGGCAACATAAGCACTACACTGAACTGTACTGGTTATAATGTTTAAAGAATCCCTCTAAACATAATAAAACATCAAAAACATAAAAAAAAATATAAAGAGAAAGAAAATAGTTTTGCTTTGTACTATGTCCTTTTTAATTTTTCTGTGACTGAGTTCAACACCAAATAAGCTGGCTGTCATGGCTTCTGGGGGCTCCCCTTACTTGCTCCCCAGAGCACCCGAGTCAAGGCTCAGTTATTGGGATGTCATTTCTCCAAAATCACAATGTTTTTCTACATCTTGTGTATCACTGTTGCACCCCCTTCTCCAGTCATTGCCCTTCATATTCCTGATTTGCTGTCCGGGACTTCTAACTTTGAGCTCTACTCTTGGACTTTGCTTCTTCCCCTGCGCACCTTACTTTAGGATCTGTACCTAGACTATAAGCTAGACTGTTCCTGTCCTGGTTTGTTCCCTTAATTCTTTTCTTCTTTTTCCTGATAAGTCCCTGTACCACCACACACTTCCTTGGGACCTGTCCTCATCTCCAGATTTGAGCTGTTCATATGTGATTTAATAGTTAGACACTCTATTAATATTGAAAATCCTGCGCAGTCGCTTATCTACTAAACAGTCATTTTAGTGCTGAACAATTTTTTGGTTTTATTAAAAATACCTAATCTAGGCAAAAACATTAATGGGAGTTTAGTTACAGTATATGATCATACATTGCATAAGCCTGCCGCAACGCCAATGTACCCCATCTTTGGCCGGTCCTACTCTGTCTAGTAAATGAGCTACTCACTTGGGGAAATCCTTCCATCTCGAGTTCTCTGCAGTACAATGCTTAAATAGGATCCTGAGATGAGGCACCTGTAACAGGGAGGGGTGCAAAACCCATGGAGCTGGCTAGACTCTTAAATATATACATATATGAGAAAATAAGGGTTTAGCTGCACTCACCTACACATGCTAAATTAGGGTGCTGCTGGGGGCCAATAAGTACATTAAAAATGAAAATCCAGCACACTCGCTTATCTACTAAACAGTCATTTTAGTGCTGAACAATTTTTTGGTTTTATTAAAAACACCTAATCTAGGCAAAAAAATTAATGGGGGTTTAGTATGATCATATACTGTAACTAAACCCCCATTAATTTTTTTGCCTAGATTAGGTGTTTTTAATAAAACCCAAAAATTTGTTCAGCACTAAAATGACTGTTTAGTAGATAAGCGAGTGCACTGGATTTTCATTCTTACTGTACTTATTGGCCCCCAGCAGCACCCTAATTTAGCATGTTTAGGTGAGTGCAGCCAAACCCTTATTTTCTCATGTATGCTCTATTAATATTATTAATTTGTTTCTAACCCCTTCAATACCAATACTGTGCATTCACAGGCGGCAATAACATGCATTTATATCCCAATCCCTTGTATACATGATTTTTAATATTTTATCAACTTGCAAATAAAATAATTCATATTGTATTTTAACTCCTTAATTAATTTGATTTATTTTCAGTTTCCAATAAAAAAAAGAATCAACAATATAGTCATTTTGACATTAAACACTGTTATTTTTCTGACTTTATACTCTATGTTTTGTGGATATTGTGCTTCCGCTTCATGAACGCAACTGGAGACAATCTCATTCCAACTTTGCTCAACCGGCTTATTTTTATTATAAATCTGGCCCTTTGTGGATCGACCTCTGTACGTAAGAACACAAATCAATTTGGGTTATTCACTCACCTCTGTGATAGTCCGGGAACTGATCAGAGAATATTTAAATTGCTGAGCTGGAAAAATAATGCGTTGAATGATTCTTACATTTTTCAACAATTCTGAAGTTAACGAATAACCCTGTTAGTTCTCATCAATTCTTAATTAAGTGAACAAATCCAAATACCATTTAGGTTGCTTAGAATAAAAGTGTTTTATCCCAGTAAAATAAACACTTGATTTTGGTGTAGGATTCGGAAGACGTGTGTGAGCAATGTGACTTCTCTAAACATACAATCCAGATTAACAAAAAAAATAACCGATTCTTTGAGTGATTTCTAAACAGGATACTTCATCTTGTGATCTGTTTATAACTCGCATGGACTGGAAAATCAAACATCTTGAAATATAATAAAAAATGTTTGAGGAAAACTTGTTCCTCTGTCACGGGAAACCCACTGCATGAAGGGCAGGAATTCAATCTCTGTAATTTGAAGTGGTCACTCTTTTGTGTTTTTAAATCTATTTTTGATATTTGATGAGTGCACAAGAGTGTGTTACTGTTTACTGCTCACTGTTATTCTTTTCTTTTCTTTTTTTTACATTTAGCTCATTATTGAATTCTCCTCGTTCTGCCCTCCTGGCCTTGCCTTTCTGAAATCCTTGCCTCGGCTCACTTTGACCCTACTTTTCCTGCTTGTAGATGTGTCTCAACTACTTTTAGGCATTTGTGTTAAGCCTGGCCACCTCCAATGACTTGTAATACCCTCTGTCCTTTCCTTTATTAATACCGTTTCAGGTTTTGAGTTTTCCATTTTACCTTATCCTGACACTAGTGTCATGGTGGTTATAGAAGACATACTATCTTACAAGAAGCATCACTGCACCCTGAGATGCCAGAGATGGAATGAGCACAAAGTGGCACAGATTTATTTTCTAGATCTCACTGCTAAACAACAGGACAAACCGCGGACGAAGAAGCCAAAGGTGGTGGCAAAGCTAGAGAGACATAAGGGCTTACAAGGTAAATGGGGAGGGACGGAGGGATTGGGGAACGGCACAATCCTGTAAGGAAGACTAGACACTGATGGAGATCAAGAGAGACATTAAGGGGGTAAAGAGATATACAGAGATGGGATGGTGATGTGAGATAATGAAAAAAATGGAAATCTATGTCAAAAACACCAGAGGACCAACGAAGGCTTTAGAACATTGGAGCATTAAAACAAAAGAGGGAAAAATGTATTTCAGAGTGATGCTCTATATTCAAATATACATTTTTCTGTCCGGTATCATCTCTGTAAAGATTCATTAGTTCCTGGAGGAAGCTACAAACTCCCATCACCACTGGTAACTTAACCATTTCATCTCTTTGAATTGATTATAGTGCCTGGAATCTTCTTCAACTGCCCCACTTTAGAGCAGTTTAACACTAAATAAGAATTCCTGGCCAATCACAGTCCGGCCTCTTATGGAGGTGTGACTAAAGCAGATATTACACACTTCCTTGTAGAATACCCATTCATACCATCAATAGGATTTCCGATAGGCTAATTACAGCTGCCAACTGTTGCTCAGGCTGATACTTTCTCATTTGCTAGAGCAGCACAGAGGGGATGGGCTGCTGGGGACTCTTGTTTAGTATTAAAGCATAAAACCATTAAAAACTATTTAGTGCTGAATAAAATGATGGTAACATGAGACTCAAGACACTATAAGCAGATTAATTAGATGAGGAATATACAGTGTCCCTTTAAGATGCTGAGAGTTGTATTATTGCATTTATAATACCTAATGCGTCTCAATAGCCCTGTGAGTAGCTCGTAGTTTTTGCTATCTTATAATATTATCAGAATTACTAAGTATTTCGATAGTCTTACCCAATATCGGGGTAATTGTTAGCGAGAGCGGCTACTTCTATCTGAATAGAACCGACGTCTTGGAGTTTGATGATTTCAGCCAGCCGGGGGATCATAGCATTTAGCCAGACGGCTTGGGATTCCTTTGATAAAACCAGAAAAATATTGTTAAGACGCAGAACTAATACTCTGACACAAAATATCAGATTGAATGTCACTAGATTTCAAAATTCCTTAAGAAATAAAATCACTTTCTGTGCAGCCAAAGCGAAATGTATATTTTTCCTCATTTATCACAAAAATTGTGGTGAGAACAGGATGAAATGTGATGTCTGTGAATTTGGGCAGATGTTTGTTTAAGGGGTGGATATGCTAAAGAAAACAGAGGTCTATATGTAACATTTGCAAATTCCAGGGCTATGTGGGCGAGGACAAGCACATTTTGTAAGGCTGACAGAAACGGTTTTACTGATATATATTGGGATTTGCACTGTTTAGCGGACTTGTGCAAACTTTTATAGGAACTCTCCATAACTAAAGCACTTTAGCTTGCTCAAGTGCATTATGCATGAAGAGTGGGTGCTCTTTTTCATTTTTCAAAATGTGCAGGTTTCAAAAGAAATTGACACTTTTATAAATGAACCTTGTTACATCGTCATGGCTGTCAGTCAGAAAGCAGGTCCTGTTCCTTCCTGGTTGTTTAGCTATGTGGAGCTAAACTCAAGAGCATGCCTCTCAATTGTCCTGAGTTCTTCAGGGCAGTCCTGATATTCAGGTTCTGTCCAACTGTATGATTTAGGGTTACCAGGGATCTGTCCCCAACAAGCATAGATCGATAACATCATTAGACGTGCAAGCTCTGTGGACCCTGCAGGGACTACCTCAGGGGGGCTGGCTTTAATGATTTACAGTTAACCTGGCATGCTCTATGCATCACTGGTCTGTCCCTTTTACCTCCCTGACGATTCTCTGGACGGCAGAGTTGGGAGGTATGCAAGAGGCAGAAATTGCACAGAGCACCTGCCATGCAAAGACTTCTCATTGAGCTGCATTGGGAAGTCTCTGGTTGGATAGCCACAGAAAGTCTGGGTGGAGTAAGAAGGGGAGGGTTTGCAAAGGCAGCAGACAAGAGAAATGCAGGGCTGGACTGGGAATGAAAAGCAGCCCTGGAAACAAATTCTATACCAGCCCCATAATGCATCGCACCAGCATAGTGTGCAGATATGGAAGCGGGAAAAAACCTTAAAACTATCACTCAAACATGAAAGAAAGTCCTCATAGGGCTTCAAAATAAGGCAGAGCAGATTTATTGTAAGCAGACGCAGACGTGCATTTGCATATAACCAATGTTTCAGTCCAACTACCTTTATATATTAAGAAATGTTTGGTAATCGGACTGAAATGGTGAATGTATGCTAATGCACTGCAGTAAAAAAAAATTATCTTGCTTTTTTGTTTTAAATAATAAGAGTGTACTCTTCACTTTGGTTGACAACTGGATGGTTTCAGTCAACGCCAATTAAATTCGCATAGGAAAGCATTGGGGGGCTATTGAACATGTTTGGCAATATGCTGTGCTTCACCGCACCAATCGGCATCTTCTCATAGAGATGCATTGCATCAAAGCATCTTTATGGGGAGCGTCCACGCAGTGCGTGGAGATGCTCAACATAGGTGCTGCACACTGTGCAGCACTGGACTAGGAAGCATCTCTAGTGGCCGTCTGAGTGACTGTCACTAGAGATGTGCCTAGGCAGCAATGTAAACACTGCCCTTTCTCTGAAAAGGTAGCATTTACAGTGCTCAGCCTACAGGGACAGGCTATAGACACCAGAACCACTACAATCAACTGTAGTAGTTCTGGTGACTATAGTGTCCCTTTAATATCACGTCTTTCTTTCACCAGCCAACTACAGGGAGTTACAGGGAGAGCAGGAGACACAACTGAAGTTTGTTTGTCTTTCTCCCCCAATCCCCTTTCACGTGCCTCTCAGTCCCAGCCCCTTTGTCTCTTTCCCCAGCCCCAGCACCTCTATGTGTATCTTTCCCCACAGCTCCTCTGTGTGTCTCATTCTCTCCTTTGCCCACTCCCTCTGTGTGTCTCTTGTTCGTCTTCCTCAGCTCCTCTGTGTGTCTCCTGTTCCCCTTTCCCAACCCGTCTGTCTCTTTCTCCCCACACACCTTCATGTGTCTTTTTTCTCCCCAACCCCTCCATGTGTCTCAGTAGCCCCCCAGCCCTTCATGTGTCCCATTAGCCCTCTCTCCCAGTCCTCCATGTGTCCCTATAGCTCTCCCAGCCCTCCATGTGTCCCTATAGCTCTCCCAGCCCTCCATGTGTCCCTATAGCTCTCCCAGCCCTCCATGTGTCCCTATGCCCCCTCCCAACCTTCCATGTGTCTAGGGTGACCAGATTTTGAGGGGGAAAAATGGGACACCCTTTAGCGATACAAAAATCCCTAAAAGAAAAACAAAACAGAGAAATACATACGCAGTAGAAGTCTTTAACCTCTTCTTGGCCAGAAAGTGCTATTACAGCTCATCCCCTTCCTGGTACTCAAATTCGTCTTTTCATTTACATTTTGTAGGAGCATGATCATCAGAGCACACACATACCCTAGACCACGGCCATCGTAACAGCATAATAGCCCACTGGGCAAATCAATGCACTGGGGCCCTGACTACGCAACCACTCAAAGGAATAAAAATATAAATTATGAATAAAATGAGGCTTATATTTATTGGTACCTCCAACAAATACAATACTTACACACACAGACAGACTGCTGAATACACACACACACACACACACACACTGCTGAATACACACAAACCACAAAAAACACACACAGACTGCTGAATACACATATATAGAGACTGCTGTATATATACACAGGCTGCTGAATACACACACATACAGACTGCTAAATACACATATATAGAGACTGCTGTATATATACACAGGCTGCTGAATACACACGTACAGACTGCTAAATACACATATATAGAGACTGCTGTATATATACACAGGCTGCTGAACATGCACACAGACTGGTGAATACACACACACACACACAGGCTGCTGAATACACACATATAGAGACTGCTGAATACGCACACAGACGGCTGAATAAACACACAGACGGCTGAACATGCACACAGACTCCTGAATGCGCACACAGATGGCTGAACACGCACACAGACTGCAGTGAGGGGTGCTGTGTGTGTGGAGGGGTTCTGTGTGTGTGGAGGGGTGCTGAGTGTGTGGGGAGAGGGGGTCTAGTGTGTGTATTGGGGGGGGGAGTTATAGGATTTATATATAAAAAAAAAAAAAATAAAGCTTTATATTTTCCCCCTACCCCCTTTGGTCAAGGGAGAGGGGGAACGACTACTCTTCAATCCCTGGTGGTCCAGTGGTGGCACGTGCTGTTCAGCCTGCAGCTCCTCTGGCCGCAGGCTGACTTCTCTCTCCTCCCACGAGAACAGCAGGCAGGTTGGAACTTTGCCATGGTAACACACAGCAAAACTCCAACCTGCCTGCTCGCGGGAGGAGCGTTCTCGCTTCCTGCTTCCTGTCAGACCGGGTAGGGGAACAGAAGCGCCCCTACCGCGGTCTGTCTGCTCGGCCACGCTCCATTCTGTGACCGGCAGGAGGGCAGCGCATCCCCTCCTTCCGGTTACCCTCTCATTGTGGCCCGGGCTGGTGCATGCTAGGTGGCCGCACACCGACGCCATAGTGTGCCGGCCCACAGGGAAATTTCCCAGTATCCCGGTGGGCCAGTCCGGCCCTGGAGATCTGTTATGCAAGTTGTTTTTAGATATGCTTCCAATTAAAAAGAATGCATAATTAAATGCATGGTTTCATTTAAGGCATATCTACTAAACAGTGATTTATTTTTTGGGGAAGTGAGTGGTATCTCTTTAAGTTATTTGCTAAAACATGTAGTGCGGCGTGTTCACTGTGACCACCCATTTTGGGAGATGCCAGTAACACAAGTGGAGTGTGTGGAACTCCTTTTTAGGACTATCTACTCCCTGTCCCAATTTCATACCTCTCAATGTTTGGAGGTATGCTAGCATCAGCTTATAGACATGTAAAGGGAAGAGCTACATTTAAAAGGACAATGTAGATAGCCTTGACACAGCTTTCTGGGAAGCAAACATTTCTAGGGGGCTGAGGTATATCACACCCATTAGATTGTCAGCCCCACATCTAGAGCCCTGTCTCTATAGCAGCAGGAATATAACATATCTCTCTCTCTCTCTCTTTATATATATCGCAGACTTGTGAGGGTTAATCAGGGAGATAGGAACAGGACGTGACATCACACTCTCCCTTCTCTCAGTGCTCCGCATGGTGGGGAAGCTGGAGCTGAGAGAGTTTACTCCTATGCAGAGAAGGACAGTGAATGCACGATTCCAAGGAAGCCGAGAAAGGCCGCCAAAGGTAGGGAGAGTTTGTGCAGTCGGCTCTATTACATTAGACATAAATCTGGCAGTGTGGAGCTCTGTAATATACACACACACCTTGCACATTGCATATCACCATATGTTTTATTACGTGGAGCTCTGTAACACACACACTTTGCACACTGCATATCACCATAGGTTTTATTAAGTGGAGCTCTGTAATACACACACACACACACACACACACCTTGCACACTGCATATCACCATAAGTTTTATTAAGTGGAGCTCTGTGATACACACACACCTTGCACACAGCATATCACCATACGTTTTATTATTACGTGGAGCTCTGTGATTATACACACACACCTTGCACACAGCATATCACCATACGTTTTATTATTACGTGGAGCTCTGTGATTATACACACACACCTTGCACACTGCATATCACCATATGTTTTATTACGTGGAGCTCTGTAATTATATACACACACACACACACCTTGCACACGGCATATCACCGTATGTTTTATTACGTGGAGCTCTGTGATACACTGGCACAGCACAATCCATTACTGTGAGGTTTATTCTGTTATTACTCTGTAATACTTACAGATACAAAGTGCATATTGTTATTCAGGTTATTTACAAAACTGAGAATGCAAGGTGAAATAATTTTAAGGCCAGAGTAGCGGAACTGAAGAGCTGAGTTATATCATTTTCCAATTCAGCTACTTAAATTAGTAATTTAACATTGAATTACTATTAATAAATCATGCTGTTAGTATTAGGAAGTTCATAGGACAAACAGTATTCCCTGGCCGAGTGCAAAGTATGTGCCTCTCTCTCGTTTGCTTTGGGCTCGAGCACCTGATATTTTTGGAACCTGCCAAAGTCTCTGGTTGCGTAGTGATATTTTTCTATTCTTTATTTCTGCTGGAGAAGGGGAAAAAAAGGGGGAGATCATCCAAAATGCAAGTGGCTTTTGAAACCTACAGGTTAATCACCTAAAGTGAGAATTTAAAGTGAAATTCACATTTTAGTCAAAATGGAAAAATTCTCACTTAGCTATGGTTCCAGTTCAGCGACCTTCAGCTTCTTTTACAATGAAGGTTACTGCAAGTAGACAATTTCCAGTAGTCCATTGTCTAAAACAAGGGTAGGCAACCTTTGGCACTCCACATGATGTAGACTACATTACCCTTAATGCTCTTACAGCCACTGGCACTGGAGTGCCGAACGTTGCCTATCCCTGGTCTAAGATGAAGCATCATGAAATGGACATATGTGTATCTAGGACACAACACTCCAGTCATACTGCAGGTACAATCACAACATAATGGTTTAATATTCATGCTGTATCAAATTCAAATCTCCTCTTACTTTTGATTTAAAAAAAAAAAAAAAAAAAGTTTTGCAGCATACACCCAGTGCAGTGATTGGCTGTGAGGGCAGACTCAAGTCAGCAACTTATACTGATCTCTCATTGGCTGGACACTGGACACTGGTTTCTTTACAATCAGGAAGATTTTTTGTGAAAAGGGGAGGCGTGGCTAAAGGGGTGGAGTTATTCTGCAGAAAGCAGAAAGAAAAATATTCTGGTAAGCAAAACTAAAGAGATTTGAATAGTGGTTTAGCATTTCTACAATACAGATGAAATATCAGCACCTACATGTAAGGAGAAGAAGTCCTGTATGAGATCTGCATTGCTTTTTATTTCACTTGATAGAATTTTAAGCATCTCTGGGTCTCTTATGCTGATTTTTTTCTTCAGGAGTCTGGTGACATATTCTTTAACCAGGTTAAGATGAATCTTATCGATCACTTCCTAAAAATACAAAATTAAATTTAAAAAATATTTATTTTTGCTTATTAGAAAAATGTATGGCAGAATCAAGAAGAGATTTAAAATGGAACTATTACGACCTTGAGTTTCTAATGTGGTATTCGCCCACCATATTTAACAAATATCTGAGAGATATAATTAAAGGGACACTGTAGACAACCTAACTTCTCCAACAGAGTTAAGTGGTTATGGTGCCTGGAGTCCATGGGCACTGGGTCTTGCTGACAGCCGCTAGAGGCACTTCCGCAACGCTGGATCAGAGTCCTACCTCTGAATCAGAGTCCTACCTCTGTAATAGTGTCACTAAAGGCCAGACTAGGCTCCCTAGAGTCCTTGTCTCTGGCAGATGAGGCTACATGGGACAGGGACTCTATTAAATTACAAAAACATAATTTTGTAATGATTTGGAACCCGGCGCCCATGTGCTCCCTGTTTCATAAGCACTTCGTACCATTAAATTGATTATGGTGCCTACAGTGTTTCTTTAAATGAGTAAATCTGCATTGCTGGAACGGAGGACCTCCGTCTTGGCTCTGTACCAATCACTTTTATAACCTCTGCCCGTTGTATCCGTCGGTCGGCTAAGAGAAAATGATACAAGATACAATGTTTGTCTTATGTCCTTTAATGCAATGTGTGCCTTGACTGTGCCTGGACTTAACTACACTGGGATGTCAATTGCTAAATCGTTAATATGCATTAAAAAATTTTTTAAAAAATCATCCAAGAAAAAAAAAAAGGTTAAGTTAGTTCTAAGTGATTTTAAATGCTTTATGCCATGATGTTGTTTCCAGAGAAGTCGTGGTCCCAATACAAGTCATTGAATATTTCCCACTTAAATATGGTTTTGATTAGTGCTTTAGTCTAAACATTCACAAGGTACAACAAATTATGAATGATAGATTTTTAGTGGATTTGTCAACTGAAGACTTTGCATCAAAGAAAAAATAGGTAACAAAGTTATGCATCATCATCATCATTGTACATTTAAAAGAATCCCCTGGCCATTTAGGTATTTATTATTATTATTATTATTATTATTATTATTTTTTAAACATGGCATCTGGCACTCACCGTATAACAAGAAGGAACAAGCCTCCTGAAAGATAGAATGTGGTTTTCGACTATCCTGATGATCTCCAGCATAGTTTGGTGACTGTGCAGGCCACTTTCTCGAGTAAGCATTTTGAAATGAACCTAAATATAAAAGTCTAGTTATTTTCTGTTCTCTACACCCACTAGCCATGAAATAACCAAAAGGCAGATCCACCAGATGAACTACAGCTCCCATGATGCTTTGTCAGCCTTAATATTGACCAGGCATCATAGGACTTGGAATGCCAAAACAGCTTGGAGTCTCTTTTGGCCATTGCTGTACATGACTGTAAGCTCACAAGAACAGTGCACTCAACCTTTATTGTGTATATATGTATGAGTGCGTATTTGTATTTGTATGTATCGGATCGCTCGCAATATGTGTCCATTTCTGACAGCGACTCCCTCCCAGTCACGTGTGGTGTTCCCCAAGGTTCCATTCTTGGCCCCCTACTATTTACATTATTTATAAATGATCTGCCTAATGTCTGCAAATCCTCACATGTACGCAGATGACACGGTATTCTATGCGAGCAAATCCAATCTACCGCAGCTTGAGGCTGTGCTAAAAGACCCGATTACAGAAGTAGAAAAGTGGATCGCAAAAAACAAACTCTTCCTGAACACTGACAAAACTGTCACAAAGATCTTTGGAACCGTACCTAAATTACACAAATTACACAATTCCCACCTATCCAAAACTAATTCAAATGGCACACTGACCGCAGTCCACTCTTTCAAATACTTGGGTATGATGTTAGACCCCAATCTATCTTTTGGCCTCCACATAGAAAAGCTTGCATCTAAACTTTATCCAAAACTAGGTGCCGTGTACAGAAACAACAAATCCTGCCTAAGCCGTAGAGTAAAGGAAAAGATTGTACAGCAAATGCTGATGCCAATCATTGATTATGGGGATGTAGTATATGCACCTGCATCGCAATCCCACATTAATAAACTCAACACATTGTAGCACAAATCTGCAGAACGAGTTATACAATGTAATTACAGGACTCACCATTGTGACATGCTAAAAGAACTAAACTGGCTGTCGCTGGAATCCAGACGCACCCTTCATCTTTCCAGCCTTGTGTTTAAGAGCTTTTCTGGGAAACTCCCACCCTACCTGAACACAATGCTTTCCCCAGCTGTTCCCACCTCATCTGCATTAACTCCTCCTCCCAGTGATGTCAGCCAGTGGGGGAGACCTAATACGCATGATCTCGCATTATGGATTCCCCCATAAGAAAGCATGTATAATGTTTTTTATGGAGGTTTTGGTGACGCTGGATGAAAAGTCCCCTAACGACACAGAAGTCCCTAGAGGTGGAGTTAACCCTTGCAGAATACCTGACCTGGCACACTGCACCCAGACCATTTTAATGAGCTGAAGTGGTCTCAGTGTCCCTTTACTATACCATATCATTGGTTGTTTATCACTTAACATACAGGGTTATTCTCTAAAATGTGATTAGCAGCCAGCTTGGCATGCATTAATGCTGCAATGACCTGCAACTTTTTGGAGGGCCCGCCCATTTTGGTCAGTGCTAGTGACACCGGTCGCATCACTTACCCCTCCCCTTTATACCAGTTACCCACTCCCATGTAGGAAGGTTTCCACCCCAAGCTGATTAATATAACACTGGTTTCTGATTACAAAAAAAAAATACCTATCCATGAATTTACCCAGTGTTTTGCTGCTACCCCACCAGAATTAAAAAAGTTACAAACCTATCAGCGAGAAAGCGAACTTTAAAGATGCAAATAAAAATTGTGTTGGGGGGGGGGTTAATACCTTCAGATCAATAAATAAATCCTGGTGAAGGGTGTCTAAACCAAGCATCTGAAGCTCAGTCAAAATCCCATTTATAATTTCCTTAGATGTAGGTTGTAACAATGTGTCTCTGTGTTCGATAAAGTCTCTAAAACACAAGCAAACAATATATGAGTGCAATATTACGAACAATGCAGAAATATCAAAAATGAATATAGACCCCAATATTCTTCATATATTACATTTACACGGTTAGTTTCTAAAGGGTGAATTGCTGGATATTTCACATTTTAAGCCAATTTGGAAAAATTCTGTTTATTAGAAAAAAAAGTTAGCATTGCTTTAATTTAAGGTATTTTAGTGTAATTCATTAAATCTGTAGAGATGTTCCGTGATCAGCATGCAAACTTCAAAGTTACATCCCTGCTCTTTAAGATGAAAACATTGTGTGGCAATCCTATAATGTCATCTGGCACTTAAATAGTTAGTTATTTATATATACAATACAGAGTAATTTATACTGAGTGTTTTTGTTATTCCTGAAGTGTCTGTGTTCTAGCCAAGCGTTATTCACATGCCCCGGTTCCCAACAATAAGGGTCCTTTCTGTTACTGCAGTTCCTATGGTGATCAGCAAAGTAATGTCTCAATTTATTCTTTCTAAATTCATTGTCTCCCCAACCATTTGGTATTCAAATTAAACTACTTCATCTTGACCACCTTGAGCTGGCTGCCTCCAAGATCATGCTGTGCACATTGTGATCTAATCTTAAAACTCATCTGGTTTAGAACAAACTCCATGGATAAAACCTTTTTTATAAACACAGAATTTCTCCACGACTTAAACAAGTAAATGCTAAACTTGGCACCGCATAATTTTGAGACCTGCAGTACAGTTATATTTAAAGCAGCTTGGTCGCCTTTGCTAATTTTGTAAAAGCTGTGATGACATCGAATTGGATGCTGTAGCCTAGGGGCCAGCAAAGGTAAGTTATACTTACCAGTAGCTGTCACCTGGAGACACCATTATCTTAGTTCGGCAGCTCCTGGCGCTTCATCCACTAGGAGCATGGGCGAGAGTAAACACTGATCTCTATGGAGGATCCTACAGGACCGCAGGAGCTTCCATAAATATTATAGCTCAGTTCTTCGTCAGCTCCAGGCGTTTCACCCACTAGGAGAATGCGCGAGACAGTGGCAGATCCGGGGGAGGAGCAACGGGGCAATTGTCACCCACACGAGAGCCGATGCTTTCTCCTGCAGGGCCGGTGCTATCCAAGCGCCGTCCCTGCTAGGTGCCTTCACGGACTGGAGGGGAGATCAGAGATATCCCTCACCAGTCCGCAGGCACATTGCTGGGGAGCCGGCACGCAGAAAGGAAGGAGAGAAGACCCGGGAGCTCAGCCTGCAGCTCCGCCGGGTCTTCTCTCGCGAGCACAGAGCAGTGCCACGGTTACCATGGCAACACTCGGTTATCGTGAGAGTGAACTCTAGCCAAAGAGCTGCAGGCTAGAGTTGACTCCCCACTAGAACCGCCAGGGATTCACCATGAGGACCACCAGTGATTGGCAACAATATCCCCCCCTCCCAGGAAAAGGTAAGAAGGGAGGGGGGATATAAAGAATATTAAAAAATTACTCTGCCCCCACCTTCAACTCCACACATTCCCCTCACAGCCCCCCATATACACACTGCCCCACCACACACACCTCTCCCCCATACACACTGCACCCACACACACACACACTTCTCCCCCTTACACACAGTGCTACTCCATACACACACTGCACCCCCATACACACAGTGCTCCTCCACATAAACATTGCATCCCCACACAAACACTGCACCCACACACCCCCATACACACAGTGCTCCCCCACACAAACACTGCACTCCCATACACACACTGCCCCCACTACACCCTCATACACGCACAGTGCTCCCATTGCACCTCACATATACACACTGCACACTCATGCACACACTACACCCCTCCTACACAGCGCACCTACTGCACCTCCATACATATACTGTCCCACATGCACTGCCTCCCATACACACTCTCTCTCTCACACACACAAACACACACACACACACACACACACACTCTGTACCACTCACACACACTGCCTCCCATACCCACCCTGCATCCGTCACACACACAGTGCCTCCCATACACACACACACCCACACACTGCCTACATACACACATTACTAGAAGACCTATCCCCTACTACAGCCCCTATCCTGGCAGACCCCAGGTAAATTGTCAAACTGTTCTTAAACAGTTAGACTATTTACTCTAGGAGGGCGCCACGGCACTCCTGGCACCATAACCAATACAGAGAGCTGTAGTGGTTATTGTGCCTGGATTGTTTCTTTAAATAATCTATGAGTGTCCCTCCCGAGATAAGGCTCTGGATCCGCTAGTGGCGCGAGAGAAAACACCGATATCTTTGAAGGATCCTACGGGACCTCAGGAGCTTCCATAAATATTATAGCTCAGTTCTTTGTCAAGGTTTATTACATTAAGTTTACCATAAGAGAAAGCAGTCCCTACTTGGTTCCTTTGATATCTTTTGACAGGTTTGGAATTTCAGTGAACTGTTAATGCAGTATTTATGAGTATCTTATTTCTTTCTTAAATGCTCATAAATATTGTTTTGGGCCCTTCCAAAGCTAACAGCATCATGGGTAATGTTCCCAAACCTCTAAACTGTCAGGGTTAACAATCAAAGGCACAAACTGAATTATCTTCCTTCATCCTATTTTAACATCTTTATTTAAGTTGCATCTAGAAGCCAGATGGATTTTAATGTAACTGTAATGTAAATTTTTAGTGCTTAATGTAATGTAAATGTTTAAAATAAATCACACACCCTCCATCATCTCCTCCCATTTACAGTAATGTGTATCTCGACTTTCTTCCCCCTCCTATTCCCCCGTGCTCTCTTTAGCGCATCCTCTTTTCTATCACATTACATTACATTATTCTTGGAGTTTTACAGAACTTGCATTCGTTGTTTATCAAGTTAAAAGTCCATGCCAGATTTCCTGGATTCAATCAATTCCACAGACGGTAGTATTACAATATATAAGAAACATTATGAGTCTGGCAAGGTCACAATACAAGCCTTTTATTCAGAATAAATCAGATCCCCCCCCCCCTCGATAGCAATGTCACGCAATCCATGCAAACTCTATTTCCCCCCAAGAATAAAGGCATTGAAGGTATGCAAATAAGCAGAGTGGTCATAAGGAGATATTTTTACATTAAAAAGTCTATATAGCAGACCTATATAGATTTAGACCAGCTCGGACATTTCCTATCTTCCTATGCCACCTATTTCCCGGGTTAGCAGCCACAAATATGCTACTTGGACAATTGGATAATACATATACCTACATCAGACCTAAAGAAAATATTCCTATTAATCCACTTTTTGAAATTGATCTAGGAAAACCATGAAATGTATATTGTACAGAAAACATTTAAATATATAAAGGGAATCAACACAGTAAAGGAGGAGACTATATTTAAAAGAAGAAAAACTACCACAACAAGAGGACATAGTCTTAAATTAGAGGGACAAAGGTTTAAAAATAATATCAGGAAGTATTACTTTACTGAGAGGGTAGTGGATGCATGGAATAGCCTTCCAGCTGAAGTGGTAGAGGTTAACACAGTAAAGGAGTTTAAGCATGCGTGGGATAGGCATAAGGCTATCCTAACTATAAGATAAGGCTAGGGACTAATGAAAGTTTTTAGAAAATTGGGCAGACTAGATGGGCCGAATGGTTCTTATCTGCCGTCACATTCTATGTTTCTATGTTACCAGGGTTTACATTACGATACACTAAGCCATTTCACATCCTTACCTGAAATTCCAGCAGCAATTTATATTGGCTATGATTATAGACCGGAAATTCGAGTCGTCCTTATTTTGCTCTTTATATTCTTCAAACAAGATCTTGTATCTGAAAGTAATGATTATAGACAAGTTTAAGTAGAAGCAACAAAAGCAAAAGCTGTTACTACTACCAAGGCAAGATGTATTTATTGTCAAGGTTAATCTCCCCAATACGCAAACTAAGGGGCTCAATAGATACACAAAGCCAGACGTATTACCGGTACTTGGAAGGGCCGGATTTGACGTGTGAAAGTACAGAGATGAGAACATAATGGTCAGACGAGCCAAGGCCAGGATTGAAGACGGAAGAAAAAACTAAGAATAAAGCCAAGGATCAAGAATGCCAGAAGGACGGAAAACCAGGAAACAGGCCGAAGTCAGATACCAGAAAAGACAAACCAATGAAATGCACTCTTGGGCTACAAAAGACCACAACAGGACAAGGAAGTGATGAAAGAGGAAGGTATAATTAGGGCTAAGCGAGAGCTGATAGGCTACGGAACCTAATAGGGCAGTAATTAAATAGATATAAATAGAGTGCTAGTTCAATTGGAAAAAATGGTACTTCTCCTTTAATAAGCTGGAGACAAGTAAGACACATGCCCCCTAGCTTGTAATAGTGTTCTCGTGCTCATGCCGGCCGCCTGCACACAGTGGAGGGACAGGACGGACGGCGAGGCTGGAGCTGCGCAGGCCGAGAGGAGGTATGATATTTCTTAAGAAAAATATTGCTTAATAAAAGTTGTTGCGTGAAGTTTGTATTTTCGTAATAATCTAAGAAATGATTGTTTGATAATGACTCTCCAAGCCAGCATCCAAAAACTGTGTCCCCGTGTTATTTTTAACAGTTCCCCATTCATCAGCATCTGAATGCGCACATGATATTTATATATCAGGAACCAGGCAATTGTTCACAAAAGCAGAATATCTACTGGGTTGTACTTACTATCCTCGCACATTGGAGGCTCTCTGGAACTCGGAACAGTCAATAAAACATGCTTTGCAGAATATATTAATTTATAGTATATTAGAATTAACAAGTCAGTGGAAGAAGTAATCTCCAAGCTAATACATATGTACAAACCATGCAAATGTTGCCCCCACTACATGTGACTTAGACTCTGCTCCAACTCATCTTATATCCGCATGTATTGAAACACTCACCCCAGCCCTCACAAATATAGTGTAGTATTCACAGGGCCGCCATCAGAAATTTTGGGGCCCCTGACAAAGCACAAGGTCTGGTTAAATTTGTGGTGGATGTAGTGTGTGTGTACTGTGAATACAGGATGTTTGTGTAGTGGATGCTGTGTGTACAGTTAATGCAGAGTGTGTGTCAGTATAGTAAATGTAGAGTGTGTGTTAGTGTGTAATGAATGCAGAGTGTGTCAGTGTAATGAATGGTGTGTGTAGCGGATGCAGAGTGTGTGTAAGTGTGTAGCGGATGCGGAGTGTGTGTTGTGTTAGTGTATGTAGAGTGTGTTGTGTTAGTGTATGTAGAGTGTGTGTGTGTGTGTTGTGTGTAGATGTGCAATCTGTAGGGGGGAGGGGGAGGAAGGGGCATTCTCACAGTAATTTTCTAATTTTCTATTAAATTTGATTAAATGTTATTCCCCCCTCCCTGCTTACCTGTGTCCAGAGAGGGGGGAGATTCCATCCCTAGTGGTCCGGTGGCATGGGGGGCCCCCCGGCTCCCTGTTACTGGGTGGGGACCCCCCGGCTCCCTGTTACTGCAGAGGGGGCCCAGCAGACTGCCTCTATCTTCTCTTCTCTCTTTTAAGAACTCTCGTGAGACCCGTGGCCTGTCTGCCGCGCGGAGCGTTGCCATGGCAAGGCTCAGAATGCCGTGGGTCTCACAAGAGTTCTTAGAAGAGAGAAGAGTAGAGGCAGTGTGCTGGGCCCCCTCTACGGTAACAGGGAGCTGGGGGGCCACGGCTGCACACATAGCGATATTCGCTATCTATGTGTGCAGAAAGGAAAAGTGGGGCCCGGGACTGCCAGAGCAGTCCGGGCCCCCCAGGACCACCGGGCCCGTGACAACCATCATGGTTGTCACCCCCTGATGGCAGCCGTGATTATTCACTAAAAACTGGAGACATATCAGATCCTCTAAAACAAGCTGAGGTAAAATTCCTCCCCCCAAAAATGTTTTATTAGACCCAGACTGCATGGCTAATTATAGACTAGTATCCAACCTTCCATTTCTGGGGAAAATAATTGAAAAAGTAGAGGCAACTGAAATGGAGGTCCATCTATCAAGCTTGAACATCTTTGATCCTTTCCAGTCAGGTTTCAGATGCCGCCACAACACGGAAACAGCGCTAGTCAACATCAGGATCAAGCTCATCGGCCTGCGGAGTTCCACAAGAATGCATCTTGTCTCCCACGCCATTCGCAATTTACTTGCTACCACTGGGGGACACCATCAGGTGACATGGCCTAAGGTGTCATTGCTATGCTGATGACACACAACTCTACTTCTCCTTTGCTCCAGATACTCCAGACCCAACATGCCGCATCAACAGTTGCTTAGCAGACCTCACAGAATGGATGAATGCTAGTTGGCTAAAAGTGAACCCAGACAAAACAGAGTTACTCTTGGTGAGGGGACCACGGACAAAAAAAATATCCCATGATCACCCAACAGGCTTGGAGGTTCTGAACTCATTAGTTCATCAGAGGTACGAAACCTCAGAGTGTTGATTGACTCTGGACTATCATTTAAACAGCAGATTTCCTCCGTAATAAAATCTGCCTACTTTCAACTGAAAAACATAGCCAGGATACAACACTTAATTCCACTGGGTAATATGCCAACATTAATCCATGCATTTGTATCCTCTTGGGTAGGTTACTGTAATGTATTTTACTTGGACCTCCCAGAAAAAGAACTCCATCGCCTGCAGCAGCCAGACTACTGGACAATCAAACTCGCTCCTGCCACATAACACCTGTTCTCCACTCCCTGCATTGGCTTCCAATTAAATGGCAAACATATTTTAAAATTGACCTTCAAAGTCTTAAACAATCAAGGCTAATGTACCTAATATAGCTCCTGGCACCCTACATTCCATCCCGTTTTTACTTCGGTCAGCCAGCAAATCCTTCCGGTCAGTGCCAAGAATAAAGACAGACTCAGGTTCCAGGGCATTCAGCCATGCTGCCCCTACCTTCTGGAACTCGTTAACGTGCCCAATCAGAGAGACCTCATCCTTACAGACTTTAAAAAAAAAAGGCTAAAGACTGCTCATCTGCCCATCAGAAACTCCTAACTTTTATGTATTTATGTTTGTATATTTGTAAAGTGCTTTAAGTCTCAAAGGGAGAAAAGCGCCATAAAAATAGCAAATTATTATTACATAACTTGGTTCCTTGATTTTTTAAAAAATTTTTTTTTGGTTTACAAAATCATAGATCTACATATATTTAAACTGAAATCCCATTTAATCATATACTAATTGTAACTTTGACTATAAACGTGACCTTAACAGTAGTACCTCATCAGAATGTCCTTCAGCACGTTTTCCAAGAAAGGTGACAGGTCCTGTGACATCTTTGGACCTATTTCCTCTGCTCTCTGGATTCCTCCGTTGTAACTCTGCACAACAGGAAATGTGTTCAATTAGGAAAAAATAAATACATTGACATTAAAACACGAACGAGACCCTTCTCGTACCTGAATAATGTCAATATGTAACTCAGAATGGTAATAATTGCCCAATTTTAATGGTTTCATCCCGTCCTTCCAACGCTGAATTTCCATCTTTAAGCTTTTGTCCATCCATTCCTTTATAGATTGCTTTTGTGGAGTTAAAGAAAACAGGAAGATAATTTAAGAATCAATAATGTTCGTTTTATTCCTGGACATTAGTAGAATATCACACAGTATTTTCTTCTTCATGTGTAATTGTAGGTAAACACAATTCGGTCTTAAATAATGCAATGTTAAGATATAATCCATGCAATGTTAAGATATGCATGGGATAATGAAATATAGGAGGCAACAAGGATCTTTAAATCTATTAATTCATTAGGTAATTAGGAAAGGTTTAAATAGATTTACTAGTGACCCTATAGTGTTAAAATCACTATATAACACCCCCTTGCCTTCTTAATATAGTAAAAACTCGCCATATTCCCAGCACCGCGCAGGTCCACTGGCAATGACTCCGCCTCCGATTTACCTCCTTGGCTGACATCATAAGAATTGATGATCCCACCAATCACAATGCTTTCCCAGAGGAAAGCATTGGATTGGTTGAGCTCGTCGGTTCTGATTATCTCAGCCAAGGAGGCAAGGCAGAGGGCGAAGTCAGACACTGCCATGAGCAATCAGCACCCCCTCATAGACATGCATTGAATCAATGTGTCTCTATGGGGAAAGTTCAGCATTTCTAGCGGCCGTCTGAGTAACTGTCCCTGGAGGTGTTTTGTGGTAGCAATGTAAACACTATGAAAAGGCAATGTTTACATTAAAAAGCTTCAAGGGACTCATTATACTCACCAGAACAACTACATTAAAGAGACTCTCCAGTGCCAGAAAAATAAATCAATTTTCCTGGCACTGCAGTGCCCCTTCCCTCCCACCCCCCATCCCATGTTGCTTAAGGAGTTAAAACCCCTTCAGTGACTTACCTGAATCCAGCGCCCACGCTTATGCGCATTAGACCTCCCCATAAGAAAGCATTATTTCCTATGGGGATTTCGGCGACGCTGGAGGTCCTCATGCACAGAACAAGAAAGTCCCTCTAGTGGCTGTCTGGTAGACAGCGACTAGAGGAGGACTTAACCCTGCAAGGTAATTATTGCAGTTTATAAAAACTGCACTAATTACATTTGCAGGATTATGGATGATGGGAGTTGGCACCCAGACCACGCCAATGGGCAGAAGTGGTCTGGATGCTTTGAGTGTCATTCTGACTATTATCTTGTCCCTTTAAAGATTAATCAAATCAACCTTACAAAACAAAAAACTGTAATGGGTTCGTAGAGGCATTTTAACTAGATTTTGTAAAATAAATTACTTACCACTTCGTGGAAGATATACTTGTTTTCCAACTCTTCCATCCTGTCTGGTGGCAAAATGCTTCCCAATTTTGTTGCTTCTATAAGTCCATTCAAAGCTGGATCTTTCAAAATACTGCTGTAAAAATAGTGTCTGTCTAGAAATTATAGCTTTCTTGATACAGATGTTTTGAAAGACTGAAGAGAAGTACAATTACAGGGAACAATTTCAACCACTTAACCCCCGCTTCTTGTGGGTTTTTATTAACCATTCAAGTGCCAGAGGAATGACAGAAACAATTTAAAATGTTACATTAGAATAAAGGGAAGTTAAATGAACAGACATCTGTTATGCAATAAAGTCATGGTGCTAATGTTTAATAGTGTGCTTGCCAGAGAATAAATATCAATGAATTCGTCACATTGGCTCATAATGCAAGTCCTTTAGCACGAATATAAATGGAACAGTTCAACTGATTTGTCAGACTTCATGCAATGGTCAGAATTAAAAGGCTTCTGTTTTAAAATTCAATATTGCTCTTCTTGTCTATCGAATGGTTTACAGACATAGGGGGGTGGGGGACAGAGTAATTTTTGTGCAAAGTGCTTCATTTGGAGGAATGAGAAAAACAAACTAGTTATTTAAGAATTTGCTTCACCTCTCTAGTTTGTTAAAGAAACAGCATAGGGTCATGAACACAAACAGATATTCCTGACTCTATAGTGTTAAAACCACCATCAAGCCCCCCTGCATCCCCTTTGCCTCCCTAAATATAATACACTTTTACTTGTACTTAAGTCTGCAGCTGCTGCCTCTGATCTGACTGCTTAACTGACATCATCAGAAGTGATTCTCTGAGCCAATCACAATGCTTCCCCAGATCAGGGGCAGAGCCAGCACAAGCCAAACACAGCCCTGGCCAATCAGCATCTCCTCATAGAGATGTATTGAATTAATGCATCTATTTGAGGAACGTTCAGTGTCTGCATGCAGATGGTGGAAACACTGAATGCCAGTCACACTGTGCAGCACTGCCCCAGGAAGCACCTCTAGCAGCTATCTGAGGAGTGGCCAGTTGAGTCATCACTAGGCTGTAATGTAAACACTGCCTTTTCTCTGAAAAGGCCGTGTTTACAGCAAAAAGCCTGAAGGAAATGATTCTACTCACCAGAAAAAATGCAATCAACTGTAGTTGTTCTGGTGACTAAAATGTCCCTTTTAATACATTGTTTTAATAGATTATAAACATAACACATTTTTAAAAAGCCTACACAAGTATTGCCAATCAGTGGCTTATCGTCACTGACATAATTTAGATGTGCTGGTACAAGTGGAAATATAACTCGTATAAAATGTATTCCAATTGAAAATGTGAATTTTGAAGGCAATCCTAATTGTTCAGAGCATTACTAACAAATAAGAAATATGTCATCTGATTTACTTACTTTGGGTATATATCATGTATCCAACATAAAACAAAATGTATATCTTTGCCATTGAGTTCCTTTGCCGTAATACGTTCAATGTAGGATTTTAAATGAACGTGATAATAGTTTGCGTAGGTATTACACACATCGAGTTCTGCCGGGTAAAGTGGTTTGAGATGTTGAACCACATGCGTTAGATCTGTTTTTAAGGTCTTGCCTAGACTTACAAAATTCTTGGAGAATGGGGAAGTGGAGTCAGTGGATGGAATTTCTGTTATATTTTTTATCTGTTCTCTCACTGATTGTTCGACACAGTCAAGCCATTTCTGCTTCCATTTTCTTGGTCGAACAGTGTTGGATTGCTCAGTGGTGGCCTCCAAGCTAAAAGCAGTGTCTTCTGCTTCTTGTTCCACAATGGCCTGCACAGCGTCTGCCAACAAACATGCATCGTCTTCTACAATCGATACCTTCACGACTTTAAAAACCTCGTCACCCAGCCTCTCATACAAGCATTCTATCTCTTGCTTTTTTTCTTCAAGTCCTTCTTCATCCGTTTTGCCAACGATCTTATGTTCTAAAGCAATCAGATCTTGACTGGCTTTCATGAATCGTTTCTGAAGAATATGTTCTTCAATATTCGCAACTGGTAAATATATAAGATAATCAAGATAGCATCATGTTCATCTTGGTACATGATTACAATACCTGATTGCTCACAATCATTCTCAGGAAGCACCTGTAATATGTTTTAACACTATAGGGTCAGGAATGACACTTTTGTAGTGTCCCTTAAATCTAAAGTTGTTTCGATGCTTAGTGTTCCTTTAATGCTCATATTAACACTAAATAAACATCTGTTCATGTTTGGAAAATTTAAAGTTTACAAGCTTTGCATTAGTATCTTACAGTGATACCAATAAGATTTTATTTGCATAATGTAACATTCTATCCATCTTAAAATAATAATTATAGCAATTTAAAGGACCACTATAGTGCCAGGAAAACATACTCGTTTTCCTGGCACTATAGTGCCCTGAGGGTGCCCCCACCCTCAGGGACCTCCTCCCGCCCGGCTCTGGAAGGAGGAAAGGGGTAAAAACTTACCTTTTTCCAGCGCTGGGCGGAGAGTTCTCCTCCTCCTCTCCGCCTCCGTTATGCCCCGCCGGCTGAATGCGCACGCGCGGCAAGAGCTGCGCGCGCATTCAGCCGGTCTCACAGGAAAGCATTTACAATGTTTTCCTATGGACGCTGGCGTGCTCTCACTGTGATTTTCACAGTGAGACGCACGCAAGCGCCTCTAGTGGCTGTCAATGAGACAGCCACTAGAGGATTAGGGGGAAGGCTTAACCCATTCATAATTAAAGCAGTTTCTCTGAAACTGCTATAATTATGAAAAAATGGGTTAACCCTAGGAGGACCTGGCACCCAGACCACTTCATTAAGCTGAAGTGGTCTGGGTGCCTAGAGTGGTCCTTTAAACTGCATTTGCTGTTTGAAGATCTCCTCCTCAGAGGAGGTGGCCATTGGGATTTCCCCTATATTTCCCTAAAGGAACAGTATAGTCACCTAAATTACTTTAGCTAAATAAAGCAGTTTTAGTGTATAGATCATTCCCCTTAAATTTCACTGCTCAATTCACTGTCATCTAGGAGTTAAATCACTTTGTTTCTGTTTATGCAGCCCTAGCCCCACCTCCCCTGGCTATGATTGACAGAGCCTGCATGAAAAAAAAAACTGGTTTCACTTTCAAACAGATGTAATTTACCTTAAATAATTGTATCTCAATCTCTAAATTGAACTTTAATCACATACAGGAGGCTCTTGCAGGGTCTAGCAAGCTATTAACATAGCAGGGGATAAGAAAATCTTAATTAAACAGAACTTGCAATAAAGAAAGCCTAAATAGGGCTCTCTTTACAGGAAGTGTTTATGGAAGGCTGCGCAAGTCACATGCAGGAAGGTGTAACTAGGGTTCATAAACAAAGGGATTTAACTCCTAAATGGCAGAGGATTGAGCAGTGAGACTGCAGGGGCATGTTCTATACACCAAAACTGCTTCATTAAGCTAAAGTTGTTCAGGTGACTATAGTGTCCCTTTAAACAAAAGGTTTGCATAGAGCAGGCTTCCTCAAACTCTGTCCCTCCAGATGTTGCTAAACTATAACTCCCATGATTCTATGAATGAAATAGGCTGAGAATCATGTGAGTTGTAGTCCAGCAACATCTGGAGGGCCCGGGGTTTGGAGAAGCCTGGCATAGAGCATGTGAACTTAGCAGCCAATCGGAATCTGTGTTTTGAGGATTAGCATCCAGGATTCCGGGAAAGGAATGTGTTTTTTGAATGATGCTGAATGCTCACTGTGCCAAAAGGAAATAAAGACAAGCTTGCTGAACTGAAATATGCAGAATGTCCTCTAATACACTAAATAAACTTTATACACATTTGTTATTAAAGCATTATCAATATTTTCTCCAGTTACCTGTAATTTCTCTGTTTTTGTCTGCTTTGTCTGCAGAGCTCCCATCAGATTTTTTGCCATGCAAATACCTCACAAATTTTTTTTGCAGTCCCTTATGTAGTCCGGGCTTCTTCTCCATGTTTTTAACAGCTTTTCTTTAGGTCTGATTGCATTTTTATTAGAAGTCCTGTGATTGAAATGTCTCTGCGTGATGCTTATTACTTGCGTTATAGACGCTGTAAACCCTTTCAAGTAAAGAATGTTATTATAAATTTTTAGTTGAAAGGAGACATGATAGAACATTTAAAGACATTCAGAGAATAAGACAATTTAAAATTTAGAAAAAAAAAAAAATATATTAAACAATCCCTACTGAAAAACACATGTATTCAAGGGCTTGGCCTAGAATTAAATCTTTGTCCGAGTTTAATTGAGTCCCTAGGTAATATGCTATAGGACTTTGAATGTCATTCTTTCACTGTACAAAATCATACTGAGCTCAAATGTACAGAGCTGCATTACAGGAGTTATGGGAAGCAGGAGAAGAGGGTCTCTTTACACATTTAAGGACTTCTCCATAATTTGCAATTGGAGACTGCAATGTCGGGTATAATAAAGATGCCTGATTTTATCCAGGTAATTCTGCTTACTGTACGTGGACATTGCACCATGTAAGTAGTATTGTTACATGCTGGTGTCGTTTCTGAGAAAGTAAGTTCAACATTTTAACTTCATGGGTAAACTAAGCTGAGATGACGGGTTACAAACTAAAAGCGAAGTGTTTGTTTTTTAGATCACAATTACTATTTAAGGGTAAAATAGCACTCTGCTGTGTTTTATTATTGATTTGTACCATTTATGTGTGCTTTGGGGAGCATTGCACATACAGTGTGGTAGCAGCTAGATATTCATGTATTGGAAAGATTTTATATTTAATTTTGTAATAATAGTATATATAGAGCTTTTGCAAAAAAAAATGTATCCCTATAAACTGAGATGAGTTAGAAAAGGCACCATGTCAACATTATGGCAATAATCCCCAGGCTGCAGCAATATTTTCCAAAACGACTTTAATTTGCAAGATAATTCACAAGTCACTGTTTAGTGAACAGACCTACACCCTCCCCTCGCCCCTCCCCCTCCCCCCGCAATGCATGGTTATTAAGAAAAATGCTAGAATTTGTCAATGTAATATTTATAGACTGTAAGCTCGTTTGAGCAGGGTCCTCTTCAACCTATCTTTCCTGTAAGTTTTCTTGTAATTGTCCTATTTATAGTTAAATCCCCCCTCTTATAATATTGGAAAGCGCTATGGAATCTGTTGGCGTTATATAAATGGCGATAATAATAATGTATTTCCGTGCTGTACATCCCTTATTGAAGTTTAGTGCTCCCCCTGAGGTGGGCAGGCAAACAATTCTCAAAACAACAGCACATGGAGAGACAAAATAGTATAAGAACAGCCAGATGCAAACCATATAAACACTCCCTCAAGTGCTTTAAATATTCAAATGTATATAGAATGCACACTATAACAATCTCAAAAAAACTTAGCTTTATTAAGTACAAAAAAGTACCAGAGTGAAAACCTATAAGAAAAAATAAAAAAAATAAACAAAGTGACAGAAGCAAGGGCAAATACAATAAAATAATAATAAATTACCATAAAAATTCTTAGAAGACTCAAGACAGAAACACGAGTCACCAAACCCCCCAACATTTTGGCACCAACTGGCTGCCTTTATCAAGGGTACCAAGGGCAGACAAACAATAACATGGATAATGGAATCAATAAACCACACCCTGCAGTTATCATTATAGATGAGTTTGTGAAAAGATGCAGCCTTGAACAGTCGTTTATTAAAAGGATTCTCTGTATAATCCGAACGCACTTCAATGGTACAAAAAAATCTAATCACAAATACAGAATCGAATCTAATAGCTTGTTACATTTGCTGTATTCCACCAGACGTATGATTTACATGCTTACTTTCATCTTTATTTTCTGTTCTTTTTAACAACGTTTTAGCAACAACAACAAAAAGTAAAAATGTTTTAAATATATATATATATTTTTATTTTTATTTTTTTTGCTTTACTTCACTGCTAATAAACACATACAATAGTATGCCAGATATTTTGTAGCCAGTTGTATATAGTCTCTTCCCTCATCTGCTAGAGTTTAGAACAGGGGTGCCCAAAAGATAGATCCCCAGATGTGGTAGAATTACAACTCCCATGATGCTTTGCATGCTTTTAGAATGTCAAAGCGTCATGGAAGCTTTAGTTTAAATACATCTTGGGGGAATCTACCTTTTGGGCACCCCTGTTTTAGAAAATACTAAAAAAACAAAATATTTATTTTAAAGCATTCAAGAGATCAGCTACTATGTTTTTATTGTCCCTAGTAACAGACACAGCCGAAGAAAGACAAAGCAGATAGAATACGTTCGGGACAGCTTACCTCTGTAAGGAATTCACCAGCTGGGGCTGAGAATCTGGTACTGAAGAGGATTGCTGACTGCTTTATACACTGTAACTCAGCAGAGAAGCGATGCTCCACCCTCCCAATTAAATCACAAGATAGTCTTGTGTGTGACATGGAACTTGTTATAACAAATGCATTATATTCTGGAGGGGGGCTTATAGACTCCCAGGTAATGTTACAATCTATTGGCCACACTTGCTTTATAATACTCTGATTAAAATGACTCAAAGCTCATGTGCTAATTCATAAATAATCAATAAAATCAAATAATAAATACAATTATTGCCAGTAAAACTTTGCCAAGATGAATTCTGGAATCCCTTGGGTATGACATCAGTCACATATGATAGCATGCCCTCAGAGGTTAGATTTAAGTTGTGTGAAATACGCCCTTCCGCAGAACATCTGGTCCTGATTTCGCCCCAATCCCTTTTAATCTAATTAGATTTTACGATTGATATGGGTGAGTTTTTATGGGAACTTTTGTTTTTGTTTTAAACCCCAGCCTCCTTATCTTTGGGAATGCTGGGGGGGTTATTCCTTTCCCTGGGGATCCAGTGACTGCTGGGTGGGCGGGCTGGCTAGGTGCTGGGGGGGCTGGCTAGTGGGCGGGCAGGCAGCGCTGGCGAGGGAGCACTTTCCTCTGAGCTCTCTGCTCAGCTCCCTCGCGCGCCGCCGAGTGAGGCTGGGAGCCGGAATATGACGTCATATTCCGGCTCCCAGCCTCACTCTTCGGCGCGCGAGGGAGCTGAGCAGAGAGCTCAGAGGAAAGTGCTCCCTCGCTAGCGCCGCTCGCCCGCCTGGCTTGTCAGTTACCCGCGAGGCTAACAAGACATTTGCCCTGGGCATTTTGGGGGCGGCTTTTTTTGCCGCCCCCTGGAAAATGCCGCCCAAGGCAAATGCCTTGTTTGCCTCGCGGCTAATACGTCCTTGACCTATGGGCAGATAGAAATTTACCCTGGCGACATAGGCGACTCTCTAATTAGGTGATTTAGTCGGCCGCCTAGTGCCTCACACACACTGGGGCCTCGCAGTCACCTACCTCACCTAGCTGGAGTGCAGGGCCTGTTGTAATGGTAGGCGGCAGAGGGCTGCACTGTATTAGGCGGTGCGGGGAGTGACTGCAGTCATCCACTCCTGACTCTGCGGCAGATTCCGGGGTTGGAAAGGGAGTAACAGCATAGGTGTCGAGCATCAGATAATATTGCAGACTGTCCCCGAGGATTAGAGGCCGGCCTTAGGGGTGTGCGAGCTGTGCGGCCGCACAGGGCGCCATGGCAACGGGGCACCAGGCGGCTGTCAGTCACAGGCTGGCCCGAGTCGTGTGTCTGCAGTGCAAGTCAAGTGCAAATTATGAACAGAGCAGCGGCCAGTAGACAGAGTAGGTCAGGTGCAAGGAGGAAGAGCGTGCTCCGCCTCCACAGTCATTCACGGAAGGCTCTGCACGGTGAGTGTGAGGGAGGAGGTCAGTGCTTTGGTATCAAAGTCGGCAGACTGGGACACTGTCAGGGAGCAGCAAGCCAGGGAGCAGCAAGCTTTAATGTGAGTCTGCTTATTCTTCTTGTTTACTATTGCTTTTTTATTTTTTATTAATTAGGTTGTTTTGTTTTTTTAAGGGTGGCAGGTGTCTTTGTGTGGGGGGGGGGGTTTGCAGAAGGGGGAGCAGAGGTTTTCTAGCTGGGATTTTGGGGAAGGGATTTTGTAGAAGGGGGAGGGGTTTTGGTTTAGGGAGGAGCAGAAGTTTTATAGAAGGGGTTAGGGGTTTTGGTGTAGGGATAGAAGTTTTGGTGTAGGAGAGAGGTTTTGTACAAGAGGAGGCAAGGGGAGTAGGAGTTTATGTAGAATGAGTGCAGGGCTTTTGTAGAGGGTGGCAGTGGTTTTGGTAGAGGGGGAAGGTTTTTAGTGATATTATGTGTACATTGCTGTATAGTAGATATATATAATGATAGAAGGGGCACGGGTTTTGTAAAAAAGGGGGCCGAAGTTTTGTAGAAAGAAGGGCAGGGGGTTTGTGGAAGGGTTTTGTAGTAGGCGGAATAGGGTTATTATAGAAGAAGCAGGGGTTTTGCTGAAGGTGGGGCGCCATGAGTTGGGATCGCACAAGGCGCCTGATCACCCAAGGCCGGCCCTGCCTGCACTGGTCAGCTGGGGAGAGAGCGGGAGATGAAGCTTGGAGGGGAGAGAGCATGATTTTCTGGTTGTATTTCTGACATATATACTTCCTATGTGCATCTGATACCACCCTTTCATTGAGAGAGAGAGAGTGTGCGTGTTGTTTTTTTTTGTTTGTTTTTTTTAAATAAAGTATATCCCCAAATACAAGAAGATTTTTTTTTTTTTTTTTTAATTTTTGTACTTTTATTTTTATTTGTTTCAATACTGGACTAACTGGTTACATTTAATCACTGTGTTTGTGATTTATTACTTATTAGTAAGAGGAAGCACAAGAATTTGCATATTTTGCAATATAATCCGGGATAATCGTTTCCTTCTGATCCCTTTTTTTTTTTATTGTATGTATTGGGGCTGACGTGTACTATAGTCATTGCTGCTGCCCAGGAGTAGTGGGAGTTTGAGCGTAGGGCTTAAATTTGTATATATGATTTACTTTTGTATCACACAGCCATGTTACAGCGCTGCCGCCCACCACCCACCCATGTGTTCCCTATTAATAGTTAATAAGTATGTAGTGGTTTAGAAAAACATCCCTCTCTGTCTCTTACTGTACATTAGAGATTTTAATTTTAGCTGAAGGAAGCAAGGTGGATTGTTAGTGTAGGACTCTCTAAAGAGGTAAAACCAGTTTACGATTATTACAATTATTGCATCCTATATAAATTTAATGCTTTTGAAATGTATTTGTGATCCTGATGAAAGTCCACAAGATGGACTGAAACGTTGATCTGTTTTAAGAAACTGGAATAAAAGTTATATTTTATTGGAATCAGAGAGTGCAGCCAACTACTTTACTATATATATATCTACACAGGCACATTTTCTGCTATTGGGTAACAGGGAAAAAAGAAGCAATTTGGTTGCTCCCCCTGATTTTAAAACATAGCTGCACCCTTGGTCCTAGTTAAATAATTTTTTGAACATTTATTATTTCCTAAATTTTGCAGGTTGCAAACTCAGCACCTGTTACTGTTTAGTAAATAAGCCATTAACTAACCCATTCATATGATCCAGAATATCCGAATGCACCCATTCTACATGTAATGAAAGGTTGTTATAAAAATAATCCAGATTACTAACAATGTACATTTTGCCCAGGTTCTATGCATAAAATAATATAACCTACAGTACGTCGGTTATAAGCTGTCAGTACCTGTTTACAGTTACACACAATCATGTATGTAGTCATATGCGATTACATTTCAAATGCAGAATTCTAAGCAGCTGGTCTGGCTTTTCAAAAGCACTTGGTTAAAAATAGAAAAAGCACACCGTGACTAAGTCTCTCGATTTCCCGGAAACAGAATGACTTCTATCTCGCTGCTGTTTTATATTGACATTAGTAAGCAGCCAGGATAAATAGTTATATAACTCTCTAATGTACTAGTCTTACAGTAATTGTATCACACTGACAGATCGTGCGCCATTCACATACAACACATTTTACAGTACCCAATGATCCGAATCATTTTTTTGTCAATCAATTTTTTTATTGAGGTAAATAGCTCCAGGCAGAGGAATAGTATAACAAAGTTTATCACAATCAATTGGTAAATAGTCATGCGTAAATAAACAAAATAAAATGCAGGAGAGGCATGAAGTGATAGATCAATATAGCAAAGAATCTCGCAGTAACAAATGCACTAAAGACAATATCAGTTGATGAGATTTATGCAATGTAAACGAACTAGGGCTGTCAGATAAAAAATTTTTTTAAAAAATTAGCTAGAGTTAAAACTAAGCTTGTTTGTGAGATTATGCAACTATTGCTTGGATACTGCCCAAGGTGGATGCCACTGGGTACTAGGTATAGAATGAAGAAGAGTGTATTGCTACACAGCTGATGCCATAAATGGACCAGGTAAGACATGGGTGGACAGACCGTCTATGCCACATGATGGCCATGGTGGAAAGTCTGCTACAGCTTATGAATGACAGTGCCACTCACCCCCTTCACACATGACCATGTTGGCAGATTATTGGACAGGTGAGTGTGACCCTATCCGCAGTGTCCCAACTCCGCAGATCTCCGAGGCTAAGCCAGAATGGGATCCCACTCCCGATGTAAACTAATCCTCTTACTCCAGGCAGCAGAATTGCGAACTTGCGAACTCTGAGAATTGTATCACCAGGTGTAGGGTAGAGTGTGGCTGGATGCCCTGCTACACCAACTGTGGCAGTGCAGCCAGGGCATGACAAAATAGAGAATGCACACTAGAATCACTATAAAGAGTTACGCAAATACTTTAATAGACCAAAAATAGGTACAATAAACATAAAGCAACATATAAAGTGACAATACATAGGCATAACTTACCACAATCCACTTATATAGTCCCCAGACAGCTATAGTGGATTGTGGTAAATTATGATACAAACACCCTTGAAAAAGGCAGCCAGTATTATTATTGTTTGTTTAGTTATGCCTATTTATTGCCACTTTATATATTGCTTATTGTACCTATTGTTGGTCTATTAAAGCATTTGCGTAACTCTTTTTATAGTGATTCTAGTGTGCATTCTCTATTTTGTCATATTTTATGGTTTACATGCTTGAGGGAGTAACTATGAGTAATAGCATCCAGTGATAATTTTCTGGTATATTCTCTCCATGCGGATTTTGTTGTAATAGAATTTAGTTCAGCCAAGGCGGCCACACGCTGGATCAGCATGGCCCAGAAATGGTTGCAGATGTCTTAACATGGATTCAGTACCTAGGGATTCTGCTGGCAAGGCATCGTGGTAGAGTCTGGATGAGCCTGTTTGGCGGCCTTTTGGGGAGCAGAGCACGGGAGTCCTATTGCAGGATGAATTACTTTTCTCCCCAACAGATTATGCTGGGTCCCTCGAGTGGGGATTGGCATAACCCCACCAGCCCAAAGGTGGGGAGACCAGAAAGACGAGCGATCATGGAGCCGCAGTAAGGCGATCTGTAAGAAGG